CAAGTAGCAATCGTAGATTTTTATTAGAAAGTATTTTTTTATGTCATTAATGTAATTTCAAAAAATTCAAAAATAAAATTATCAAAGACTCGAACCCAAAAACGACGCAAACCGAAACACGACTGTAAATAAAAATAAATATACACACAGTAAATATAAAATTAAAATCATTTACTCAATACAACCATACAAATCCTTAATAAAACTTCACCCTCATCCTTATCATCCTTCAACCATCCTCCTCCTGCATCTGCTGAATAAGCCTCTTCCTCTCCTCGGCCTGTCTCATCTGCCTCAGCACCAAACTCTCGAAATCCCTTTCATTAACCAAATTCGACCCTTTACTTTTCCTCTTCGGCCCTTCACCGATCCACTCTAATTTAAGTTTATTCTCCGGCAACCCTAATTCGTACTCCACTGCCATTTCGGCTGCATCTTGGGTTTGGAACTCGACGACTGCTGAACCGTTTTTGGTGGATAAGACTAAGACGTTGATGTCGCCGTATTTGGATAGGAATTTGGTTAGGTTGGTTTGGTTGTAACCTCCGTTGGTTTGGTCGCTTTTGGAGGCTTGCCATTTGATTTTTATACGGTGTTCGTTAGGGTTCCAGGGGGGTTTTGTGTTTAGTTCGGCTAAGAGTTGTTCTTCAAGAAGGCGTTTTTCTTCTTCTACTAATTTTGAACCTGGAGGGAAATGTAGGTGGAGTTATGATTTTGTTTTAAGTTAAAAGGTTATTATATTAACTTATAATATATTAGTTATTATATGTTATAGATTAACAAGTATAAGTTTAATATACAAAACTTTTAATTGAATTGCAGATTATCTGTATGTTATTATTGAGAGCTAAAACTTTTAGAGGTTTTTTTTATTAATTTAGATGCATTTGAGCCATTGGAAGCTGAGAAATTAGAAAATGTCCATATTAAGAACCACTCTAACATATATATTAAGAAATTGTAATAAGTAAGTATGTATGAAATTGTTATAAGTTTGTATGTATGAATGTGTATGTGTGACCCAAATTTTGATCTTTTGTATACTTTTTTTAAAATAATATCCTATAATACTATAATATCCTATATACTCTAAATATTATTTTAAGTACTTGTCAGTTTTGTTTTCAATATCTTTAGTAGAGTTCCTTTTTCTTTTGTTTTTGTTTTGCTTATCAGTAGAGTCCCTTTTTGTCCCAGATCGATTTTCTCTAATATAGTGTTTTTATTTGCTCATTAATAGAGTTCACATTTTTTAATTTCAGTTTGCTCGTCAGTAGAGTCCATTTTATATTTATTTCTATTTTGCTTCCATAATAAATCTGTCTATAAACTTTGAAAAAGGACTCTACTGACGAACAAAATAGAAAAAAAAAAGAAAAAAGAATGCGCGTAAGGATCACACGCGCTTGAAGTAAAAAAACTTATTTGCTATCGTAGGAGATGGCATTTAGGTTAAAAATAAATACATCATATAACAATTTTGAATAATGTATAATATGGTAACACTCGTGATGCACACATTTATTAGTGTCAACCATTATACACATTTATATAATGATAAATTATAAATTATATATTTACAATAGCATTAAAAATATGTCAAAAACAATAATGTAATTAAAGTCTTACTTCGTATACGACATGATCGGTTTGTCATTGTAATTAGCATTTACGACTTGAACCTTGAGTTGATTCGATATGATTAATCAATTCTATAATATTCGTTTACACAGTGGACATATGTAATATAACAATTTTGAATAATTTCATTAATGCTAGCAAAGACGCTCACGTGACACGACGACCAATCACAATCGACCCGTATAGAAATGATATCATCGAGAGCGAATGATTAATGAGCGTAACGCGTTTTCCGTTGCATTTTCACAGATTTAATACCTAGTCGCGCCTAAAGGGGATTTACTTCAATAAAACGGAAAACAATCTTGAGTAATTTCATTAACACTAGCAAATACGCTCACGCGACACGACGACCAATCACAATCGACCCTTATAGAAATGATCTCATCGAGAGCGAATGATTAATGAGCGTAACGCGTTTTCCGTTGCATTTTCACAGATTTATCACCTAGTCGCGCCTAAAGGAGATTTACTTCAATAAAACGGAAAAAGGGACTCTACTGACGAGCGAACTCAAAATAAAATGTAAAAGGACTCTACTGAAGAGAAAACTAAAAATCAAATAAAAGGGGAATTCTCAACTGAAGAGCAAAGTCAAAATTAAATGAATAAAGTGGGCAAAATTTCGTTGAGTAACAAATAAAAAAGACTCTACTGACGAGCAAAACTAAATTTCGATGCAAAAAAAATCAGCAATAAAAGGGACTCTACTGACAAGCAAACTGAACATAAAAGATAAAAAGGACTCTACTGGCAAGCAACTCAAAAATGCAAAAGAAAAGTAACTCTACTGACAAGCAAACCAAAATTGAAATGAAAAGGGACTCTATTGACAAGCAAAAGATCAAATGGACGGAAAAAAGATTCTACTGTCGAACAAACTAAAAATCGAATGAAAAGGGATTCAATTGACAAACAAAAAATAAATATAAGGAAAAAGAGGCCTACTGACGAGCAAACTGCAAATAAAATAAAAAATAGACCCTACTGACAAACTAAAAATAAAAAGAAAAAAGACTCTACTGACAAGCAAACCAAACTAATATGAAAAAGGGACTCTACTGACGAGAAAACTAAAAATAAAAGAAAAAAAGAGACTCTGCTGACGAGCAAAAGAAAAATGAAGTAAAAGAGAATTTCTACTACAAATATTAAAATGAAAAAAAGAACTCTACTGACAATCAAACTAAGCATAAAAATAATTTTTGTAGTTTAATAAAATTATTTGTAATTATTTTAAGGCAAAATTTGTATAAATGTCTTTTGTATATTTAAAATAGGTGCAAAAGCTTTTGGAAAAAAAAGTCTACAAAAATCCAAATTTTGGCTCACACACACACTCATACAGTGTAAGAATGATAACATTCTAGATCCTCCCCCCACGAAGTAATGCCTATCGGCAATAGGCAAGGACAAAACGGTTTATTGAGTTTCGAATCGGTTTATTGAGTCTGACATACCTAGACAAAAGACCTAGTTTGGAAAGAAAAAAAATACTCTCTTCGCTATACAAAAAAACACATACACACATACATACTTATAACTAAAACTTTTAGAGATTTATTTTTTACTAATTTGGAAGCGTTTGAGCCCTTGGGCGCGAAAAAAATCAAAAACATTCATATTAAGGACCACCCTAATATATATATATATATATATATATATATATATATATACATATATACATATATATCCATTATCTCACTAACCTTCTTTCCTCAACCGTTCAATCTCAGCCTGCAATTGTTCCTCAGGCGTCTTACAACTAAAACTACTTTTACTCTTAGATTCTAAAACAGCACTCTGTTCTCGTGCCTCCAAATTCGATTTCAACTTTTGTCGTTTGCTATCTAATTCTTTGTGTCGTAACTCTGCAGCCTTTTTGGCATTCAATATTCTGTCGTAGGCCTCTCGTGCTGATTTGTCACAGAGGATTTCTAGGGCTTTCGATAGCTGGTGGAATAGTTCTGCTGCTTTTGGATTGTCGGGGTTTTTATCGGGGTGACATTGTAGGGCTTTTTTCCTGTAGGCTTTTTTTATCTGAAAGAGGAAAAGATGGTGGAATTAGTTGTCAAAAAGGTTAGGTTTGGTAAGTGATAAGAATTAGTTAATAAGTTAAATGGTAAGAGATAAAAGATATGAGAAATATTTAAATAAGTATAATATTTAATAAAAGTGTATTAATACTATAAGTATTGAAGTTATTTCATAAAATTATGTTATTAAATATCAATTGTCGATCTTAACCTCAAACTTACAACTAAAATAATAATTTTCTATTTACCTCTTGTGTCGTGGCAGATATTTGTATATTAAGTAATCCATATAAATCCACATCTTTTAAATCTTTCACATCAGCCATAATTTATATTAAGTAAGCACAAATATCAAAAATAAAATAATTATTACTAGCTTTTAAACGTCAAACAATGTCAAAGTCTTCGTCGACTGTCAGTTTGCAGTTGAGGCAGCCATCTTGTTAGTGTAAACTGTCAAATATAATTTTTATAATAATAAATCTTCAAAATTAAAATAATAATAATTAAATAATTGATAAAATCACATTTTGTTAATATACATATGGTATAAGATTAAAATGTTTGTTAAATCTTTTAAATAATTTCCAAGTTGACAGTTCGAAGTTGCGGCAGCCATGTTTGTAGTGAAAACTGTCAAGACATATTTAAAATACAAAAAAACAATAATTTAGTTATATAAATCACAATTATAAGATTAATATATTATAATTATAATTTATGTAATAATTTTAATTATTGTTTATCATTTAATATTCGAAAAAAGTTTTAAACAGCTAAGTTGACAGTTGATGAATATGTCAGCCATGTTTGTAGTAAAAACTGTCAATGCACATAAAATATAATAAAACAATAATTTAGTTATATAAATCATAATTATAAATTAATATATTATAATAATAATTTATATAATAATAGTAATCATTGTTAATAATTATTATTCGCAGAAATTTTAAACTGCAAAGTTGACAGTTGATGAATGTCAGCCATATTTGTTGTAAAAACTGTCAAAACGTATATAAATTAATAACAAAATAATAATTTATTTACAAAAATCATTAAATATATAATTCAAATTTATAATTTATATATTAATCTTGATAATTATAGAATCGTTAATAATTATTTAATTCTAAAGCCAAGTTGACAGTTGATCAATGTGTCAATGTGTCAGCCGTCAGCCATGTTTGTTGTGAAAACTGTCAAAACATATTTAATATACAAAAAACAATAATTTAGTGATATAAATCATAACTATAAGTTCAAAATGTGATAAATATGTGTTATATTTCAATATTTGTTTATAAGTTACAAAATCACGCGAAGGAAATCCAAAAAAAGTGTCAACTGTCAAGTAACAACTGTCAAACGTCATAACCAATAAACAAAATAAATATTATGTAAACAAATAATAAATAAAAATGCCTGGTAGAATTAAAAGCTTATTAAGCGAACGGGTAATAAAATATATATATAGATATAATATACTATAAATGTTTTTTCATGTTGTACTATATTTATATTTTTGTTTTTAGGTTATAGAGCATTTAAGAAAAAGCGGTTTAAATCACCCACAGGCTTCCATAGCACCTTTTATACAAATAGGTGCTTACAAAAACAACTGTATAGAGCTCCAAATACCTTTAAATAAACTTCAGCATCAAAATTTTGATAATTTTGCCAAAACCGATTTGTTTTATGATGTGCATATAAACACACAAGTGAAATATCCTTATGTGTGCTTCAAAACAAGCACTAAAGACTTTATAAAACACACATTAAACCTGCAGTCTCAATTATACCTCCGCAAGCCTAAAACAGGTATAAAAACTCTAGTCGAGTTCAGTTCTCCCAATATAGCAAAACCTTTCCACGTGGGGCACTTAAGGTCTACGATAATAGGAAGCTTTATAGCAAATTTGAAAAGTTTTTTGGGGCACGATGTGATACGGTTGAACTATTTAGGTGACTGGGGCACTCAGTTCGTTTCCTTAAACTCGGTGTGGACTTATTGAATATAAACGATGATGAAATGCGTAAGAGCCCTATAGAATTATTATACAAAGCTTACGTGCATGCTAATAAGTTAGCACAGGAAGATTCTACTATCAGTGATAGGCTCGTGAGGTTTTTGCACGTTTGGAACAAGGTGGTGCTGAGGATATGGAAAAATGGCATTATATCGCACATATACAGTTGATGAATTGATTCAAGTGTATAAAAGACTCAATGTAGAATTCCAGGAGTACCATGGGGAGTCCATGTACGACCGTAAAAGCATACACAACATTATTAAATTACTAGAAACCAAAAACATCCTCAAAACATCCCCTGACGGCAAGAAATACATAGAACTATTCAACCGTAACGTGACTGTTATCAAGAGCGATGGGTCATCCTTATATTTATCCCGGGACATTGCAGCAGCCCTAGACAGGCACACAAAGTACAATTTTGATAATATGTATTATATTGTGGATAATGCACAAACGGATCACTTTGTAGCCCTTTTTGAGACTTTGAAACAAGTCGATGCAAGTTTGTATGAAAAGTGTAAACATGTAAAGTTTGGTCGTATCAGAGGAATGAGTACGAGAAAGGGGGATGTTGTTTTTTTGAGTGATATACTCGATGAAGCTAAGGATGTTATGTATAGAAGGCAGTTGGAGTCTCCAAGTAAGTAATATTAGCGTGTATTTGTTTGTTATTGTTAGTATAATAGTATAGTATTATTAGTTAGTTAGTTGCCAAGACAACGCTATGTTATGAGGTAGAATTGCCCCTTTAATTTGTTTGTCAGTAGAGTCCCTTTTTGTTGTGATATGCTTTATTAAATTATATGAAGTTTGAAGTCTAAATTTTGTTTGCTCGTCAGTAGAGTTCCTATTTCGTTGCTAATAAATGTGCACGTAAGTAAAGTTTTATTTTTTTTCGTAACTGTAATTTTAGTAATATGTATTTGCTGCTTTTACTCGTCAGTGGAGTTTCCTTCAAACTTTGCTCCAAACTTTAAAAATTGTTATATACAGTTTGTTCTGGAGTAGAGTTCTTTATTTTTTCTAACATTTCATTTTCAGAGAGTAGAAGCTTTTTTAACAAAATTTTATTTTTATAAAATATATCGAAAGTTAAAAAAGTAAATAAATAGTGATCTATAAAAAAAAGGTGAAAAAAGGAACACTACTGACGAGCAAACTAAATAACAACTTAGAAAATATAAAAAGAGAAACTCTATTTGTATTTTCTGCACTCTTTGCTTCGTATCTCCGAAACCGCTGGACCTGCCTTTGCCAAAACCTATCAATAGGAATTGAATGTAGTTTAAATCATTCAAATCGGTTGATCCATGCGCCCGAAAACGTGGACGAAAAAATGCGGGCATACAAAACACACACACACACACATCCACTTAGTTTCTGAGGTATGCCCCTTAAAAATGTTCAGAAACCTTCAAAACGTCGAGAAATGCAAAAATTTTCATTTTGGATTTTCGGCCCATTACAATAACTACCCTACGGGAAGTTAAAAATGATTTAATTACACTAACGAGAAAATTTTATTAAAAGTTCAAACACCAAATGAATGTAATGACAAATCTATTAAAACTTGAATAGAAGGGAACTGTGCTGACGAAGAGACTATCTATAGTCTGTGAGAAAGGAAAGAACTCTACTGATGTGAAAACCCAAATTGGTCTATAATAAAGAAAAGGACTCTACTGACGTGCAAACTTATGGGGCAATTCTGCCGTAACAGAGCTCATAAAATAACGTTGTCATGACAACGCTCTCTTATGATTGTTCTTGGTAGTGAGGCAGGTCTAACGGTTTCGGAGATCGAGTGAAAAAAGTAAAAAAAAATGCCATTTGGCGGTCAAAAATAATCATTAGACATGTGCACGGTGTTCTAAAAAAAAAATTAAATTTATTTTAAACATTTTATTTTTTGGTACGTAAAGTTCCAGCAATTTGCACGATGCAATACACCACTAGTTACAGTTTTTAGTACTAAGAAAGAAGGATAACATAGCGTTGCCATAATCACAACACTATGTTGTCAGCTATGTCACTGGACTACGAAAAGTAGCCCTAATTAGGGAATGCAATACCGGTATACCGGTATACCGATTTACCGGTAAACCGCCCGATTTTTCGGCGGTATTTTTATCGGTATTTATTCCAAAAATACCGGTATTTTCGGTATTTTTATATAAGCGCTATTTAATACATAATACACTAAAGTTTAAATTTCTCGGAACAAATTGATCTTTAAATTCCATAATCGCATAAACAGCTATATCTTCAAGTGATACTATAAAATAAACAAATGCCAAATATTATCTCAACTCGTCATTAAACTGAATATTTATTGCTTTCCAAAGGGCTTCATATCGTGTTACAATAAATAGAATTGGACTGATAGATAATGATGTTTGTTTCATCTTTTGTGAAAATGTAACGGTTTTTTAAGTGATATTTGCGCCAAAATATTTTATATCATACAGATTACCCCTTCGTAATCTTTATTTTTATTCTAACTTTATACATAATAATTATAAAAATTACTAAATATTTTTGCTTCTTATTACAACTATAAAATATTATTTTTCCAAAACGTTTCGAAGTTTGAAAATACTATAGAAGCATCACATTGTTTTAAATAACAATACTCAACAATTATAGTAACTTATTATTTATCTCGACAAAGAATCCGATCTTAAATTAGTGTCGAAAAATTATTTTTTAAAAATATTGGATTATAGATTATGCTAATTTAACACATCGGATACAGACAATAAATATGATCTTTTATGAGTTTTTGATCTTTCTTACTCATAAGTTTGTTTTTGGTGCAAAGTACTAAATACACTCGGTAGTGATAACGAATTAATTAAATTGCATATACTTTTGTTAAATTATTTTTAAAAAAATAAATATATTGTTTTATTTTATTGTTTTTATTGTTTAGTTGAATTTAGTGGTAGTTGTATATACATTTCTTTATATTTGCACTAGTAACTTTCAATTTTGTTTACGTTTGTTTAAGATAATAAAAATACCGGTAATTTACCGGTATTCCGGTTTTACCGAAATAAAAATTACCGAAATACCGGTATGGAAATTTTCCATCGGTATTGCATTCCCTAGTAGAGTTCTTTTTTCTCCTTATTTTTTAAATTTGCTCGTCAGTAGAGTTCTTTTTTTCCAAATTTTCCTCAATTTGCACCTAAACTTGCACCTAATTTTGTTTGCTCGTCAGTAGAGTTCCTTTCTCCTTATTTTTCAGAATTTGCTCGTCAGTAGAGTTCCTTTCTCCTTATTTTTCAGAATTTGCTCGTCAGTAGAGTTCTTTTTTACTAGTTTCCTCAATTGGTTCGTCAGTAGAGTTTTTTTCCAAGTTTTCCTCAATTTGCTTGTCAGTAAAGTTCTTTCCTCCTTATTTTCCTTAATTCAGTAGAGTCAGTAGAGTTTTTTTTGTCGTATTTTTCTGATATCTTGTCAGTAGAGTTCTTTCCTCCTTATTTTCCTTAATTTGCTCGTCAGTAGAGTTTTTTTGTCGTATTTTTCTAATATCTTGTCAGTAGAGTTATTTCCTCCTTATTTATCTGAATTTGCTTGCTTGTCAGTAGAGTCCTTTTTCCATTTTTTTCTCCTTCTTTTAAATTAAAATTAAGGTTTGCTTGTCAGTAAAGTTCCTTTTCTTATATCCAATCTCGTAAGCAAAAAATTATTTTGCTCGTCAGTAGAGTCCTTTTTCTTGTAACTAATCTCATTTTTTGAAATTCGGTTTCTTATGTCCAATATCCAATATTCTTAGTAAAATTGGGTTCGCTCATCAGTAGAGTCACTTTCTTGTATCCAATCTTATTTTTTGAAATTCCGTTTGTTCGTCAGTAGAGTCTACCTTCATCTAATCTTAGTTTGTTAGTAGAGTTCATTTGTTTTTTTAAAGCTAGTTAGTCATTTTATAAAAAGTGATTTTCAGTTTACTCGTCAGTAGATTATTTATTTCCCTCAATTAGCTCGTCAGTAGAGTTCTTTTCTCCTTATTCTTCTGAATTTGCTTGTCAGTAGAATTCTTTTCTCCTTATTTTTTTGAATTTGCTCGTTAGTGGAGTTCTTTTTTGTCGTATTTTCCTGATATCTTGTTACTTAATTTGCTCAATTAGTAGAGTTTTTTTTCTTATTTTTTTAACTTGGCTGTCAGTAGAGTCCTGTTTTTCCTCATTTTCTTCAATTTGCTCGTTAGTAGAGTTCTTTTTTCCAAATTTTCCTCAATTTGCTCGTCAGTAGAGTTCTTTTTTCCAAATTTTCCCTAATTTGCTCGTCAGTAGAGTTCTTTTTCTTATTTTCCTCAATTTGTTCGTCAGTAGAGTTCTTTTCTCCTTATTTCTCAGAATTTGCTCGTTAGTAGATTTTTTTTCTTCATTTTGTTTGGAATTTAATTTGCTTGTCAGTAGAGTTCTTTTTGCGTTTTATCCTGATATCTTGTCAGTAGAGTTCTTTCCTCCTTATATTTCACTAGTGTTCTTTTTACCATTTTTTTCTAAATTTGCTCGTCAGTAGAATTCTTTTTTCCAAATTTTTCTGAATTGGCTCGTCAGTAGAGTTCTTTTTTCCAAATTTTCCTGAATTTTTGTCGTATTTTCCTCAATTTGCTCGTCAGTAGAGTTCTTTTTTCAATTTTTTTCTAAATTTGCTCGTTAGTAGAGTTCTTTTTTCCATATTTTCCTGAATTGGCTCGTCAGTAGAGTTCTTTTTTGTCGTATTTTTCTGATATCTTGACAGTAGAGTTCTTACCTCCTTATTTTTCTGAATTTGCTCGTCAGTATAGTCCTTTTCTTGTAACTAATTAGTCCAGTCATATAAGCTTAAATTAGGTAAGAATCTCGGAATTCGAGATACCCAAGTTATCTCAAAACCTACAAATTCGGTTTGCTCGTCAGTAAAGTTCGTTCTTTCATGTTTTTTGAAGCCAGTTAGTCATTTTATAGAAAGTGATTTTTTGTTTTCTCGTCTGTAGAGTCCCATTCTCTAAAACCACCTACTATAATATAAGTTTGTCAAATATCTCCCTTCCGCCTTTTTGTATTATAAACCAAGAGTAAAAAAGCGGAAGGGAGATATTTAATATTAACCCTCCGTCGGTCGGATATTTTTTCACCTTCGAACGGTCGGAAAGGTCTGACTGGACCACCATTCATTTTACATGCATCTATATGGGATAAATGAGTTTTTGGTGTCTTATGTATTAACGATTATATAAAAAAATCAAGAAATATAAAAAAAACGTTGCTTTTTTTTAAAATCAATGAAAAACAGTATTTATTTTTTTTGGTGCCTGAATGAATGTGTGCATTACTCATCCGATTTTCAGTGTTTGCGATTACCAATAAGTTTGGTAGGTTTTCAAGGAACTCTCGTCATGAAAATACTAACATTCATGTTAGAACACATAGCAAAGAATATAAACAACGCAGTTTGAATAGAAAATACCATGAAAAAGCGTATATTTCATACAGAATGTATGGGTGGTCTAGACAGACCTTTCCGACCGTTCGAAGTATAAAAAAAATTAAATCCTTATAATTATCCTTCTGTACATTTTTTCGTCCTGATTTTTTCATTGATCGACAGCTAATGAAATTTTAGGAAAAGTCAAGAAATTTCAAGTCGATAGGATTACTAGAAGTATTTTTTTTCTAATTGAAGTCGAAAAAAGTCTGGCCAGACCACGCCGACCGACGGAGGGTTAATGATATGTAATAAATATTTGACAACTTATCTTCAGGAAAAACACCACTTACACCTAATTCTTTTACCCCCCCCTCTAGCAACAAAAACCGCCCAAACCGACCACCGCACCCCCGACATCCTCGGCACAACCGCCGTCATAATAAACGACCTAAAACAGCGCAGAACCCGCGACTACAGTTTCGAGTGGACCAACGCCCTTCACATGCAAGGAGACAGCGGCATAAGATTGCAGCACACCCACTGTCGTCTGCACAATTTAGAGTTGAATAGCGGCGCGCGAGTGGCCCACGAGTGCGACGAAGAGGCATTGCTGAAGCAACCGGAGGCCGTGCAACTGATTGTCGACATTGCGAGGTTCGAGGATGCCCTGGGGAAGGCTGATAGGGAACTGGAGGCTTGTGTGGTTGTTAATTATTTGTTTGGATTGTGGTAAGTCGAGAAGAGTTTTTTTTCTATTTTATCTGACATTGTTATAATATTTTTTTAAACTAGTTGGTTTGGTAATTAGCCTTGAGGCAAGTTACATGAACTTCCCGATATGTGTAAATAATCAACTTAATCAAAAAAAATGTGTAAATAATATACTTCATCAATCCTACATTAAAAAAACGATAATAATTTTAGCAAAGTTTGACGAATTTTTAAAATTAAACTACTTGTCGTAAGGCCGCAATATTATAGTAAGTTCTATAAGACCATGATGTACGTATATCGCCAAAAAAAGTTCCATGAAAATCGGCTTAAATTTCTTTTTCAACAGTTAATTACAAGAAAACGGCTCGGTAGATTTTCACCTAAAATTAATCAGTACCATTTCCAACTAATATCTTTCGAACAGTTTTTGATTTTTTAAAATCGGTTCGGTAGGATGAGCTTAAATGTGGACGAAAGGTTTAACACTTTTTTTCAAATTACAAAGAAACGGCTCGGCAGATCGTCTCACAAAACTGACAAATTATAGTCCTCATTGAGATACATCAAATGGCTTTTAAATTTCTGAAATCGGTTCAGGCGTTTTTGAGAAAACGTCGATCAGAGGTCTAATTTTGACAAATGCCAAAAAAACGATACCAATTTTTGAAAACTTTGACGAATTTTCAAAGTTAAACCAATTCTCGCAGGGCCGTAATATTTCAGTATGATCTAGAAGACTATAACATCTACCGTCAAAAAAATAATAATAAAAATCGTCGAAAAAAATTATTTTTGACACTTTAATACAAGAAAACGGCCCGGCCGATCTCTACCAAAAACTAATCAGCACGATTCCCAATCAATACCTTTCGAACGGTTTTTAAATTTTCAAAAATTGTAAATTATTATTAAAGTATTAGACGAACAGTATCATACAGATTTGCAAACATATAGTTTTATTGAATGTTTTGAGTGCTAACACATAACAGTTGTGTTTTTTTACATTTTATTTTTGTTTTGCTTGTCAATAGAGTCCCTTTTGTTCCTAACGTCGGTATTGTTCATCAATAGAGTCTATTTTCCTTTTATTAATTCTTTTCAATATTGTCTTTTTACCTATTATTTTATATTGCTCGTCAGTAGAGTTCTTTACACCTTATTTTTCTGAATTTGCTCATTAGTATAGTTCTTTTTTGTTGTATTTTCCTGAATTAGCTCGTCAGCATAATCCTTTTTTTTTTAAATTTGGTCGTAAGTAGAGTTCGTTCTTCCTTATTTGTTCTTTTTAATTTGCTTGTCAGTAAAGTTCTCTTTTCTTAACTTTCTAATTTTACGTCAGTACAGTTCTTTTTCTTCTTATTTTCCTCAATTTGCTCGTTAGTAGAGTTCTTTTTTGTCACTTTCCTGAATTTGCTCGTCAGTAGAGTTCTTTTTTATCATACTTCCCTGAGTTTGTGAGTCAGTAGAGTTTTTTTCCCTCATTTTTCTCAATTTGCTCGTCAGTAGAGTCCTGTTTTTTCCTTATTTTTGAATTTTACTTGTTAGTAGAGTTCCTTTTCCTTATTTTATTAAATTTGCTCGTGAGTAGAGTTCTTTTTTATCGTATTTTATAAATTTGTCGTCAGTAATTTTTTTTCCTTATTTTCCTGGATTTGCTCGTCAGTAGAGTTCTTTCTTCTTATTTTATTAAATTTGCTCATCAGTAGAGTTCTTTACATTTTATTTATATATGACATATGAGATATTTGTTGAAGTCGTTCTGAATCGTTTGATACTGAAATTAGTTGCATTCATTGTTGTTAATGTTCTAGTCATTTTAGTAAGTTCACCTCGGAATTCGAGTTACCCGGCTGTAGTCTGTAAATACTTGTATATTGACAAGTATTAGTTGACTAAAAGTTGTCTTAAAACCTACATGTGGTATTAACACCCTACCATATGTAGGTTTTGAGACAACTTTTAGGGTGCCAATATACAGACTTACAGCTGGGTATCTCTAATTTCGAGATTCTTGCAAATCATGCAAATTTGCAAATAAATAGTTTTGTTGTATTTTTTGAGTGCTAACTAGTTAAATTCGAGTGCATTGAGTTTAATTAAGTTAAATGGTCAGTGGTGTTTCTTTGCATTTTATTTTTTTTTGCCAGTCAGTAAAGTCCCTTTGTTTTTTTTTTGTTTTGTCCATAGTTTTTTTTATTAAATTTTTTATGTTTTTTATGAATCTTTTTATAAGGTATACCTATCATTTTATATTTTCTCCTTATTTTTTTTATTTGCTTGTTAGTAGAGTTCTTTTTTGTCATATTTGCATCAATTTGGTCCTTGGTAGAGTCCTTTTCTCTTTATTTTTCTGAATTTACTCGTCAGTAGAGTTCTTATTTATCGTATTTTTTTATATCTCGCCAGTAGAGTACTTTTTTCTTCATTTTTCTGAATTTGCTCGTCAGTAGAGTTCTTTTTTTTTAATTTGCTCGTCAGTAGAGTTCTTTTCTTCTTATTTTCCTTAGTTTGTTCGCCAGTAGAGTTCTTCTTCCTCACTTTCCTCAATTTGCTCGTTAGTAGAATTCTTTTTTCATGATTTTTCAGAATTTGCTCATCAGTAGAGTTCTTTTTTTATCGTATTTTCCTCAATTTGCTCGTCAGTAGAGTCCTGTTTTTTTAATTTGCTCGTCAGTAGAGTTCTTTTTTTTATTTTTCTGAATTTACTCGTAATTAGAGTTCTATTCTGTCATATTTTTCTAAATTTGCTTGTCATTGTGGATTTTTCTAAATGTGCTGTCATTGTGGCATTTGCGTTGGATTGTGGTAAGGATAAAGGACATATGGGATATTTGATAACTAATTATGTTTGGTAAATTTATGTTTCGAGTTATTCTGAATCGTTTGATACCGAAATTAGTCGCATTCATTATTCTAAGTTCACCTCAGAATTCGAGATACCCGGATGTAAGTCTGTAAATACTTGTATATTGACATTTAAAAGTTGTCTCAAAACACACACTCTGTAGGTATCATTTATTTAAACTTAGGAATCATTTATTTAAACTTAAGTGACTGGACTATAAGTATTAGGATAACAGTGTTTTATAAATTTGCAAATAAATAAGTTTATTGTATTTTTTAAGTGCTAACGAATAATTGTGCATTAAGTTTGCTAGTCAGTGGTGTTTTTTTAACTTTTAGAGTTTATTTTCCTTTTATTAAATTTTGTCAGTAAAGTCTTTTTACCTATCATTTTATATTGCTGATCTTATTTTTGTAAATTTGCTCGTCAGTAGAGTTCTTTGTTGTCATATTTTTCTAAATTGTCTCGTCAGTAGAGTCCTGTTTTTTTTTTTAATTTGCTCGTCAGTAGAGTTCTTTTTTGTCCTATTTTTTTAATTTACTCGTCAGTAGAGTTCTTTTCTTCTCATTTTCCTGATTTTGCTTGTCAGTAGAGTTCCTTTTCTTTATTTTGCTTGTCAGTAGAGTTCCTTTTCCTGATTTTGCTTGTCAGTAGCTTTTCGTTATTTGTTCCTTTTTATTTGTTCTTGTAACTTATTTACCTCAATTTGCTCGTCAGTAGAGTTCTTTTTTGTCGTATTTTCTTGAGTTTGCTCGTCAGTAGAGTTCGTTTTCCTTATTTTCCTTAAATTGCTTGTCAGTAGAGTTCTTCTCCTTATTTTTCTGAATTGGCTCGTCAGTATAGTTCTGTTTTTTTTATTGTCATTGTCATTCTTATACCGAAAAGTGTGAAAACAGTTGAGTTTTTGTCTAAAATGTGATTTAAGGAAAAAGGACTCTATCGACCAACAAATTTAGAAAGAGGCTGAAATGTCAATTTAGGAAAGTGAATTCTACTGACGAGCAAACTAAAATAAAATGGGAAATGAACTCTACTGACAAGCAAACTAAAATAATAGTAAAAACAAACTAATTAAGATAAAAAGGAACTCTACTGACCAGCAAACTAAAAATGAAGGAAATCTTTTGAACACCGTCAAAACACAAGCAAAAAGGTATTTTGAATTATTCAAATCGGACGATCCGTTCTTTAAAAACTGCATGACCATTTTACACTCTTTGCGCTCCATAACTCCGAAACGGCTAAACGTGCCTTTTGCAAAAACGCCTCGCGATCGAGTAGCAAAATAAACATAAAAATAAAAGGGGCTCTACTGACGAGCAAGGAAATAATAAAAATAAGAAAAACCCTATAGGAGAACAAATTCCAAAAAATAAGAAAAAAAGGACTCTACTGACGAGCAAATTAAATTATAATCTTAAAGATAATTCTACTGACCAACAAATTCAGAAAAAGGCTGAAATATCAATTTAGGAAAAAGAACTCTACTGACGAGCACACCGAAATAAAAGTGAAAAATCTACTGACTATTAAATTTAGAATTTGTTGGTAAAATGTCATATTAAAAAAAGAACTCTATTGATGAGGAAACTAAAAATGAAAATAAAAACAACTGACCAGCGTGTGATTCAAATTCGATTAGAGTGTTTCGTTTTTTCTAATATAACATTTTGCCATTTTTTTTAAATTTGCACGTCAGTAGAGTCCTTATTTTTAATTTCTTCACGAAATTGGTTCGTCAGTAGGATTCCTTTTTTCTCCTAAAATGACATCTACTGAAAAAAAGAGAAAATTCAAAGGAACTCTACTGATGAGCAAGTTGAAAAATAAGAAAACCTGTAGTGTCGAGCAAATTTAGAAAAATAAAAAAAGAACTTTACTGACTAGCAAGCTCAGAAAAAAAGAACTCTACTGACAAACAAATTAAAAAAAAGAAAACAATCACAATATCAAAAGAACTCTACTGATGATCAAATAAAATTAAAAAAGAAAAAAAGAAAGAAAGACATTCTTTTGACAAACAAATTTGAACAAGAAAGGGACTCTACTGACGAGCAAAATAATTCTAGTTTTTAAAGGATCTGAATCTAGATTTTGCTCCTCAGTAGAGTTCTTTTTTTCTAATTTTTCTGAATTTGCTCGTTATTCAAAAAAGTAAATATAGGAATTTTAATACTTTTTTTTAACACATCTCGATAAAAAAAACAATATGATACCAAACACAGATAAAAAAATCCTACAACCCCTTCTATTTTTCAGTAACTCAATCAACAAAGCCCTAAAAACCCTCCAAGTAAAAAACCAAGGCGAACTAGGAAACCAGCGCCTACTAATGTTCCATTGCGCAAAACGAGTATTGAATCAAGGAATGAGGATATTAGGGTTGCAGCCCTTAGAAAAAATGTAGAAATATAATTAATAATTGTAATAGAATTTGTATTATTTTGTATATTAGTAAATTTATTATTGTAATTGTCGTTTATGTTTATATCTATCTATATATTTATCGTCAGTACTTTATTATAGTGTGATCTGCCTTAGCGTTTCTTCCAAGTGAACTTCCTTCTCACTGATAATTTAATTTACTACAAATTCCCCAAATATTGCATTAATTTTGGACAAACGGTTCAAAAGTTACAAGAGATGTAACAAAAGTAGACCAATGGGTTGCCGAACTATAAACAGTACAGCGGGTAAAGATTTCGTGACGTCACATATGGCATGTGGGGTATCAAATAAAAGGTCTCAAAAAGCACTATTGAAATATCGTAGTGATAATTTTAACAAATCAATAGGGTTCTGTATAATGGATTTTTAATGTGATTTCGAAGTATACCGAGTTGCTCCAAAGTTTTTATACACGATCAATATAAAAATCTTCTAATTTAGAACAAATTCACTGAACATTCCATGTGTTTTGGACAAACGGTTCAAAAGTTACAAGAGATGTAACAAAAGTAGACCAATGGGTTGCCGAACTATAAATAGTACAACGGGTCAAGAAGTTGTCACGTCAAACATGGCATGTGGGGTATCAAATGAAAGGTCTCAATGAGTATTATCCAACTGTCACATTCACATTCTAAAAAAAAACCAACAGGGTTCCGTACAAACCATGTATTCTTTTAATTTTAAAGTAAACCGACTTGCTATAAGATTTTTAAACTTAATTTTATAAACGATTTAATTTACCACAAATTCCTCGAATATTGCATTAATGTTGGACGAACGGTTCAAAAGTTACAAGAGATATAATAAAAGGTAGACCAATGGGTTGCTGTACAGTGGTTTAAATAATTTGTGACGTCATATATGGCATGTGGGGTATCAAATGAAAGGTCTCGACGAGAACTATACAAATATCATAATAACGAACTGATCAAACCAATAGGGTTCTATGCACATAATTTAATTAATATTGACCTTACATTTTTGTCAATTAAAATATATCAAGTTGCTCTAGAGTCATTACTATATTAGAAGACGTTATAGATTAAATAATTTAGCACGAAATCGCCGAATGTCTCATGCATTTTGGACAAACGGTTTAAAAGTTACAAGAGATATAATAAAAAGTAGACCAATGGGTTACCGAACTATGTATAGTACAGTGGGTAAAGATTTTGTGACGTCACATATGGCGTGTGGGGTATCAAATGAAAGGTCTCAACGACTACTATCTAAAAATCATACATATACCAACTTGCTGTAAAGTTTTTATACGAGACATTATTGTAGACAATTCAATGACTAAAAAGCAAAAAAGGGACTCTACTGACGAGCGAGCAAAAAATAAAAGAATGAAGGGACTCTAAGGGACTGACGAGCAAAATAAAAATTATAGGATAAAGGGATTGGACTGAGGATCAAACAATAAAAGAAAAAAGGACTCTACTGACGGGTAAATCAAAAATAAAACAAAAAAGGACTCTACTGACAAACTAATATGAAATAAAACAAAAAAAGATTTTACTGACGAGTAAATTAATTATTAAATTAGAAAAAAGGGACTCTACTGACGGACACAATAAAAATAAAACAAAAAAGGACTCTGATAAGCTAATTAAAAATTAAGAAAGAAACGGACTGTACTAGTAAACTAATTAAAAATTAAACAAAAAAGGATTCTACTGAAGAACAAACAAAAAAAGAAAAAAGGACTCTAATGACGAACAAGTTAAAAATAAGAGAAAAGGGACTCTGCTGACGACAAAAATTAAACAATAAAGGGACTCGACTGAGGTACAAACAATAAAACAAAAAAAGACTCTACTGACGAATTAATTGAAAATAATACAAAAAAGGACTCTACTGACGAGCAAATTTGATTAAAAAGAATAAGAGGACTCTACTAATAAGCAATCTCAATTTTAAAAAGAAAGGGACTCTACTGACATGCGAACAAAAAATAAAGCAAAAAAGGACTCTACTAACGAGCAAATTGGTAATAAAAGAATGAAAGGACTCTACTGACAAGCAAAAAAAAATAGAACAAAATAGGACTCTACTGAGAAGCGAGCAAAAAATTAAGAAAAAAAGGACTCTACTGATAAGTTTTAAAAAAAGGACTCTTCAGACAAGCGAGTAAAAATAAAACAAAAAGGGACTCTGCTGACAAGCAACCAAAAAATACAAGAATGAAAGACTCTACTGTTACTAAAAAAATAGAACCAAAAAGGACTCTACTGACGAGCGAGCAGAAATAAAACTCTACTGATAAGCCAATTGAAAATAAAACGAAAAGAGACTCTACTGACGAGCTAATTGAAAATAATAATAAAAGAACTCTACTGACGAGCAAACTAAAATAAAGCAAGACAAGAAAGAACTCTACTAACGAGCAAACTGAAAAAAAATAGATGGGGGACTCTACTGACAAGCGAGCAAAAAATAAAACAAAAAAGGACTCTACTGACGAGTAAGATAAAACATCATTGTAAAAAGGACTCTACTGATATTTAAAGTAGAAATTGCTACTGAAGTACAAATCTATCTACTGCCAAAAACTTTTAGACTGATTACAAAAGGACTATACTGACGAGCAAAGTAAATTTGGATAATAAAAAGCTATAGAAAATTAAATTTTGATCTGTATACTAGACAATAATAAAGACAATTAAATTTAGCACAAATTTGCTAAATACTCCATTACAAGAGATATAATAATAAGTGTACCAATGGGTTGCCGAACTATAAACAGTACAGCGGGTCAAGACATTGTGTCGTCACATATGGCATGTGGGGTATCAAATGAAAGGTCTCAACGAGCACTAACTAAATATCATACTTACAGACTGAAATCATTCATTCCACTACTATTGTCATATAAATATTAATTTTAATCGAAATATTTGATTATATTATATAAATCGTTTAATTTAGAACAAATCCACCGAATATTCCATTTATCTCAGACAAACGGTTCAAAAGTTACAAGAGATGTAACAAAAGTGGACCATTGGGTTGCCGAATTATATAAAGTACAGTGAGTGAAGATGTAGTGACGTCAAATACGGCATGTGGGGTATCAAATGAAAGGTCTTAACGAGCACTTTACCTAAAACATACTTATAAACCCAAAAAGTCAAAAGAATTTCCTATAAATCATTTATTCAATTTCTAATGTCAATTTTTGTCCACGAATCTTTAAAATATTCGACTATGTCATAAATAATTTAATTTTAAACAAATTCACCGAATATTCCATTTATCTCAGACAAACGGTTCAAAAGTTACGAGAGATGTAACAAAAGCGGATCATTGGGTTGCCGAAATATGAGTTAAAAAGTTTTACTTCAAATATAGGCATGTGGGGTATCAAATGAAAGGTCTCAACAAGCTCTAAACAAATATTATAATTATGCACTAAAAAGTCAAAAGAGTTTCATACCAATCAATTTATTATCGAATTTTCAATATAAATTATCTTTATTTTAATGTACACGGACTTGTAAGCTTTCTATATTCGTATGTATTATATAAATCTTTATATTTAAAACAAATTTGTCGAATATTTTATCCGTTTCGGACGTACGGTTTAAAAGTTACAAGAGATGTAACAAAAGTGGACCAATGGGTTGCTGAACTATATAAAGTACAGTGGGTCAAGATATTATGACGTCACATATGGCATGTGGGGTATCAAATGAAAGGTCTCAACGAGCACTAACTATATATCATACTTACAGACTGATATCAATCATTCCATTACTATTGTCATACAAATGTTAATTTTGTATCAAAATACTCGACTATGCTACAAATCGCTTAATTTAGAACAAATTCACCGAATATTTTATTTAACTCAGATAAACGGTTTAAAAGTTACAAGAGATACAATAAAAAGTAGACCAATGGGTTGCAGTACACAGGGTAAAAATGTTGTCACGTCACATATGGCATGTGGGGTAGCAAATAAAAGGTCTTGACGAGAACTACTCAAATCTTGTATCAGTAAAGTTCATTTTTCTCTAGAATGATATTTTATTAATAATTTTACTGAATTTGCTCGTTAGTAGAATTATTTCTTTTTTCTTAAATGACACTAAAAATTTTTTTCTGTAAAACAATTTAAAACTTGTATTAGAAAACAAACAAATCTAGTGACGAGCAAATTCACAAAAAATATAGTATTATATTGCTAGTTTTACGAAAAAGAAACTCTACTAACAAGCAAAATAAAATTAAATTGGCTCATCAGTCTAGCCTATAAATTTTGCACAAATTTGTCGAATATTCTATTTCAATCGGACGTACGGTTCAAAAGTTACAAGAGACGTAACAAAAGCAGACCATTGGGTTGCTGAACTATATAAAGTACAGTGGGTAAAGATTTTGTTACGTCACATATGGCATGTGGGGTATCAAATGAAAGGTCTCAATAAACTCTATACAAATATCATAATTATGCACTGTAAAATCAAAAGAGTTTCGTACGAATCAATTAATTATCGAATTTTAATTATCAATTATCTTAATTTTGATGCATACCGACTTGTAGGCTTTCTATATTCATATATATATTATATAAATCTTTGTATTTAAGACAAATTTGTCGAATATTTCATCCGTTTCGGACGTACGGTTTAAAAGTTACAAGAGATGTAACAAAAGTGGACCAATGGGTTGCCGAACTATAAACAGTACAGTGGGTCAAGATATTGTGACGTCAAATATGGCATGTGGGGTATCAAATGAAAGGTCTCAACGAGCACTAACTAAATATACTTACAGACTGAAATCATTCATTCCATTACTATTGTCATATAAATGTTAATGTTTAATCAAAATATTTGATTGTATTATATAAGTCGCTTAATTTAGAACAAATTCACCGAATATTCCATTTATCTCAGACAAACGGTTCGAAAGTTACAAGAGATGTAACAAAAGTAGACCAATGGGTTGCAGGAACTTAAATAGTACAATAGATAAAGATGTTGTGATGCTACATATAGCATGTGGGGTATCAAATGAAAGGTCTCAATGAACTCTATACAAATATCATAATTATGCACAAAATCAAAAAGTTTCGTACCGATCAATTAATTACCGAATTTTCAATATCAAGTATCTTTATTTTAATGTACACCGACTTGTAGGCTTTCTATATTCGTATATATTATATAAATCTTTGTTAAGACAACTTTGTCGAATATTTCATTCGTTTTGGACGTACGGTTTAAAAGTTACAAGAGATGTAACAAAAGCGGACCAATGGGTTGCCGAACTATATAAAGTACAGTGGGTCAAGATATTATGGCGTCAAATATGGCATGTGGGGTATCAAATGAAAGGTCTCGACAAGCACTATACAAATATCGTTTTGGAAATTTGTAAATAATCAATATATTAATTTAAGAGTCAATTCTGATAATTGTAATAGACTTTGTATTATTTTGTATATTAGTAAATTTATTAATGTATTTGTCGTTTATATCTATCTATCTATTATCGCCACTACTTTTATTATAGTGATCTGCCTTAGCGTTTCTTCCAAGTGAACTTCCTTCTCGCTCCCTCCTGTCCGGGCTTCTTTCTCTCTTTCCTTCTGTAGTCTCTGGTGAGCAGGCCGGCTGCAATGGAAAAGGATAGAAGATAGAGTTTTACAGTGAGAGTGAAAGAGACATGAGATAGAGAGACATGAGATGACAATAGATGTAATGAAAGAGACAAAGTATAAAGTATAAAGTACAATAAATATTTTGAATAAATTTTGAATGAATGAAAATGAATGAATTTTATGTATGATGCAAAATTGAAATTATAATTTAAGAATAAAAAAGTGAACTCTACTGACTAAGTGAATTCAAGAAAAATGAGAAAAAAGTGAACTCTACTGACTAAGTGAATTCAAGAAAAATGAGAAAAAAGGACTCTACTGACAAGCGAATCCCGAAAAAATGAAAAAAGACTACTGATGAGCAAATTAGAAAAATATGAGAAAAAAACGCTACTGACGAGAAAATTTTTTAAAATCTCTACTGACCAGCAAAGAAAACTCTGCTGATGAGCAAATTCAAGAAAAAAATAATAAAAAAAAGCTCTACTGACGAGCAAATTAAAGAAAATAAGAAATGATACTGTACTGATGAGCGAATTTAAAAATAAGAAAAAAGAACTCTACTGACAAGCAAATTCAGAATATAAGTAAGAAAAAATAAAGACTCTACTGACAAGTTAATTTAGAAACAAATAAGAAAAATTAGGACTCTACTGACGAGCAAATTAAAAAATTAAAAATAAATTCTATTGATGAGCAAATTTAAGAAAATTAAAAATGGGACTCTACTGACGAACAAAATTTAAAAAAAATGCGAAAAAGGACTCTTCTTATTAGCAAATTTAAAAAATTAGAATAATAAAACTCTATTGACGAGCAAATTCGGGAACAAAGAACTCTATTGAAGTTCAAATTTTAAAAAATTAGAAAAGGAACTCTACTGACAACCAAATTAATAAATAAGAAAAATAAGGACTCTACTGATGAGCAACTTAAAAAAAAGAAATAAAGAACCTTACTGACGAGCAAATTCAAAAATTGTTTTTTTGAAAAGATAAAAAACTTCACTGACGTGCAAAATAAAAAAAAGAGAAAGAAGGAACTCTACTGACAAGAAAATTTAAAAATAAGAAAAAAGTATTTCTACTGGCAAGCAAATTAGAAAAAAATAAGAAGGAACTCTACTGACTAGCAAATTAATAAAAAAGAAAATAAGGACTCTACTGGCGAACCAATCCAGATAAAAATATGAAAAAGTGAGCAAATTAAAAAAACAAAATAAGAAGAAAAGAACTCTACTGACAAGCGAATCTTTTGACTATGTGGGAGCATTTTTTCAATTTTGTGAAAATTATTGAAAAAAAGCCTATAAAAACACAGTGTAAGTTGCAACCTAGTACAAATATATTTGCAAGGGCGTTTAGAGCAAACTAAGTACAAAAGAAAAGGGGACTCTGCTGACGAGCAAACTTAATTTAAATCTAGAACCCTACTTCGGAAATTTAATTTGTTCTTTGGTAAAGTTTCTTTTCTCATTATTGAATTTTGTCATATTTCACCTACATATGTTGATTCACAATCGGAGCGTTTAGTTTTGTAATCTGAATTTGTGAGACATCTTTTTACCAAACAAATTTGACAAATTTTATCTTAGTTTACAATTCATTTTATCTATAATTTTTTTTTGTATTTGTTTTTTAAGGGTGTGTTTTAAATTAATTATTTTATTTACTTATCTTGTTACAGGTTATTTACTTAATTGTGATGTTTTGTGCTTTTAAATGCTAGTAGAAATTAAGGGATCTCAAACAAATTTGTATAAAAGAATTTACAAATCTCATAGCAATAACGATTATACAAACAGAAGATATATATATATATATATATATATATATATATATGCAAATACATATTATACACATGTATATATCTATTTAAATAAACTAAATCTTAAATGAATGTCACCTTAAAGCTAAAGCGGCTATCAGAGCAGCGAATAAGGACACGACCAGTTCAAATATATATATATATATATATATATATATATATATATATATATATATATACATACATTTAGATACATTATTATCAAATCATAATAAACTATTTTGTAGTTAAACGTTTACGTGTGTAAGTTTGGACTTGGATCGAAACGACACAGGAGCACGAGTCGCAAAATATACAATTTACTATTATAATTTATTTATTATAAGAAATATATATATATATATATATATATATATATATATATATATATATATATATGTATCGGAAATTAATAAAATCGCCGACTAATAATATATTTAACCTTTAATGCAGTGATAAATTTTATAAATTTTTTTGAACAATATTTCACATTGCCAAAAACAATCGATCAAACAAAACTCCGCTTACTAAATTTGACGCTAATTTGTATCAATTTTTTTTTTAATATTTTTTAAAATTAATATGTAATTAATAATTAAATTTGATCGTCAGTTGAGTTTTGTTCTGCTGTGAACTAATTTATATTAAATTTTTTTAGTACTTTGCTCGTCAGTAGAGTCCTTTTCATCCTGATGCGATATTTAGAAATTGTTCGCCGACAAAGTTCTTATTATTCTGATCTAGTCAGTAGTTTTTTTTTTGATTTTTTTTTTAATTTGCTTGTCAGTAGAGTTCTTTATTCTTATTTTTTTAAATTTGCTTGTCAGTAGAGTCCTTCTTTTCTAAAGTTGCTCGCTGGTAGAGTTGCTTTTTCATTTTACTAAATTTGCTCGTCAGAAGAGTGTTTTTTCCTTATTTTTCAAAATTGCTTGTCAGTAGAGTGCTTTTCTCTAATTGTTCTTAATTTGCTTGTCAGTAGATTTCTTTTTTAATTTTTGAACTCTTTCTAATTTTGCTTATTTGGATCGTCAGTAAAGTTCTTATTTCTAATTTTTGTTTTTACTTGTCGGTAGAATTCTTTCTCTAATCTGGCTAATTTGGATCATCAGTAAAGTTCTGTTTTGACCTAAAATGATATTTTGCTAATAACTTCTAATTTTGCTCGACAGTAGAGTTCTTTTATCAAATTTTTCTGATTTTGATAGTCAGTAGAGTTCTTTTTCCTTATTTTTCTAAATTTGCTCATCAGTAAAGTTCTTTTTCCGAATTTTTCTCGTCAGTAGAGTTCGTTTTTTTTCTAATTTTTCTAAATTTGCTTGTCAATGGAATTCCTTTTTCTAATTTTGATCGTCAGTAGAGTCCTACCTGTAATTTTTCTGTATTTGTTGGTCAGTGGTACAGATTTTTTTTAAAGAAACGTTCATAAATTTGATAGTCAGTAGAGTTCTTTTTTCTAATTGTTTCAAATTTGTCGTCAGTAGAGCTCATTCTTTTATTATTATGATTTTGCTCGTCAATAGAGTCCTTTTTTCCTTCAATGACATGCTAGAGAAAAAGTAATAAGTTTGCTCGTCAGCGTGTTTTTTTTTCTAATTTTTCTGAATTTGCTTGTCGGTAGAGTTTTTTTTCTGATTTTGCTCGTCAGAAAGTACACATTCTTTTTCAAAAAAGTTCTTAATTTGCTGCTCGTCAGTAGAGATCTTAAATATCATCAAATGACATTTAAAAAAAACTCAAATTCGTTTTTTTTTTTGAAAAACATGAAAAACGACTCAGCATAAGCACAGTCTAAGTGACAACCTAGAACAAATCTATTCACAAGTGTGTTTAGATTGTGATCTCGCGGGAGCACTTTTTCAATTTTGTAAAAAATTATTGAAAAATAATTAATAATCAGTATAAGCACAGTCTTAGATACATTTGGGTACAAAAATATTTACAAATTCGTTTCGACTGTGACTGTATGCAGCATTTTTTCAATTTTGTTGTAAATAATTAAGAATTATTTTTCTCGTGACGCAGTATAAGCACAGTCTAAGTGACAACCTAGAACAAATCTATTATCAAATGTCGTTAGATTGTGACTCTATGAGCACTTTTTTAATTTTTGGAAAATTATTGAAAAGTGTAAAAATGAGACCGTATAAGCATAGTCTTGTTTACATTCGGGCAGAAAAATAGTTGAAAATTCGTTTAGACTGTGACTGTACAGAGCAATTTTTCAATTTTGCGTAAATTATTAAGAATTTTTTTAAGCTAATATTTTTGAACGCGATTTTAAAGTACACCGAGTTATTTTAGACAGTTATAGTATTAGACAATATTGTAGACAATTCAATTTTGCACAAACTTCTCATACACATCATTCATGCAAAACGAATGGTTTTAAAAATACAACAAATTTAATGAACAAATGCACCATAAGTATGTTACCATATAGTGCTGTCAAATTGTAGATCTATCAAGAGAGAAAGGGTTGATATAGATAAATAAAAAAAAATATAAAATTATATATATAAAGAAAATAAAAGAAAAAGAGACCCTAAAATGACTTACACTACAAACACTAAACTGAAGATACGTTAGTAATGAATTTACTAATTAATGATTAAATGTAACCAATTTTTAATAACTTCTTGAGTAGATTATAGTTTTATTTGGAATATTTAACGACGAGAATTGGAACATTTGTAGCTCTTCTGGAAGTGTGTGAAATCAAAGAATTCATTTAGATACAAAAATTTATTTATCGCTTTATTATAATATTTTAGTTGTTGCTTGTTCAAGAGTTCAGGACTAACTAACTTTTTATTTTTACATTTTTAAAATATTTTCAATATTTCTAGTTTTATGATAGCTCGCCGAAGGTACATGAGCTATCATAAACTTTTATTAAGGGTTGTCTGGCAGATGTACAAGATGTTCGCAACATTTACCGTTACTTGGGATTATACATCGTTCAAATAAATTTACTTATGACTATTATTTATAATTATAAAGAACACAGTTCTCAACAATATATATATATATATATATATATATATTATATATATATATACATTAGGGTGGTCCTTAAAATGGTCATTTTCGAATTTCTTTGCTCCCATGTGCTCAAATGATTCCAAATTGATAAAAAACAATTCTCTGAAAGTTTTATCTCTTAATATTAACGTTTAGATAGAGCGCAATTCAATCAAAGTTTGTATGGAAAGAGCATGGAAAATTTTTTGAAAATTTAAAAATAATGTTTTAGAAATAACTTGGCGACAAATGAATAAGCTTTATTCATTCATTCGTTCGCTAAATTACATCTAAAAAACATTTTTTTAATTTTTGAAAAATTTTCCATGCTATTTCCATACAAAATTTTGATTAAATTGCGCTTTATCTAAACGTTAATATTAAGAGCTAAAACTTTCAGAGAATTGTATTTTATCTATTTGGAACCATTTGAGCCCCTGGGAGCAAGGAAATTCGAAAATGACCATTTTAAGGACCACCCTAATATACATATATACATATAAATATATAAATATAAATATAGAGAGAAGAAAGAGAAAGGGTTGAAATAGATAAATAAAAGAAAAAAGTATATACATGTGGGGAACAAGCAGGCGAGAATAACAAAATCACTTGTCATATTTTTCATAGCATTAATTTTTATAATGAATGAAATTTATATATTTTTATATATGTGGAGTTTATACTTTCATATCCATAACTACTCCCACATAAGAAAATAATCAAAAAGAGACCCTAAAATGAAGAATCCAACTTTACTCACAGTTTAACATACTTACACAAAAAATGGTCTGTTTTTTAAGATTTATTATATAATTTTTTATAAATATTATTTACTTACCCAATCTCATTTTCTCAATCATTTCCTGATCAACAAAGCTCCTCAGGCCCCATGCGATGCCCCAACGGATGGCCCCAGCCTGGCCAGAAGGGCCGCCGCCCTCCACATTGGCTTCAATGTCAACTTTGCCGTTCATTCCGGTGAAAATCAAAGGAAAGAGCAGCTGAAAGAAAAAAATAAAGGATGAAAATTAACCCTTTGACTCGGATGCCGCCGCTCCGGCGGCAAAATACATATAAGTCTCGCAATTTGCGAGTGGAAAGGGTTAATAATGTTGAAGGTCGTTTTTAGTTGTTACATATTTGACAACGTTGCATTTGAAACAAGCAGCAGATGAATTACATCTGACAACGTTGTATAAAGGAAATAATTAGGTGTAAGAAGATTATAGAAAATGTATTATTTCAATAAATTTTTAGATAAAAATTAGTATTCTCAAACTATCTAGACTGTCTATAGCATTTTTAAACTTTCTAGAACACATTTTTAAACCATCTGTGGACCATCTACAACATTTTGAAACTAACTAGAACCATATAGAACATTTCTATGCTATCTAGAACATGTTTAGACCATCTAGAACAATTTAAAACTATCGAGAATACTTTTAAACTGTGTAGAACATTTTTAAACCATCTATGTACCTTCGAGAATATTTGTGAAGTATCTAGAACATTTTTAAATCATATATAACATTTCTAGAACATGTTTATACCATCAAGAACAATTTAAAACTATCGAGAATACTTTTAAACTGTGTAGAACATTTTTAAACCATCTATGTACCTTCGAGAATATTTTTGAACTATCTAGAACATTTTTGTTTCATCTAGAACAATTTTAAACTACCTAGAACGCATTTTTAAACTATCTAGAACAATTTTAAACTACCCAGAACACATTTTTAAACCATCTTTGCACCATTAAGAATATTTTTGAACCACCTAGAATATTTTTAAACCATCTAGAACATTTTTAAACTACCTAGAACACATTTTTAAACCATCTTTGGAACATCCAGAACATTCTTAAACCATCTAGAACATTTTAAAGTCATCTAGAACACTTTTAAACTATCTAGAACATTTTAAAATTATCTTTGGACCATCGAGAATATTTTTAAACTATCCAGAACATTTTTAAACCATCTTTGTACCATCTATAACATTTTTAAACTATTAAGAACATTTCTAGACCATCTAAAACAATCCTAAACTATCTAGAACAATTTTAAACTATCTAAAACACATTTAGAACCTAGAAGATTTCTAAACTATCGAAAATATTTTTTAACAATCTAGAACATTTTTAACTAGAATATTTCTAATCTATTGAGAACATTTGTGGACTATCTAGAACATTTTTAAGTTATCTAGAACACTTTTAATCGATTTGTCGACCACTTAGAACATTTCTAAACCATCTAGAATATTTTTAAACCATCTTGGAACCATCTAGAACACTTTTAAACCAACTAGAACATTTTTAAACTATCTAAACCATCTCACTTAAACTATCTAGTATTTTAAACCATCCAGAACTTTTTGAGACCATCTACAACATTTTTAAACCATATTTGGATCACCTAGAACATTTAAAACCATCTAGAATATTTTCAAATCATCTAGAACACTTTTAAACTATCTTTGAACCACCTAGATCATTTTTAAACTATCTAGAACACTTTTAAACTATCTACAACATTTTTACATCATCTTTGAACCATCGAGAATATTTTCAAACTATTTAGAACAATTTTAATACATATAGAACAATTTTGAACTACTTAGCACCATCCAGAACATTTTCAAGTCATCTAGAAAATTTTCAAATCATCAAAAACTATTTTATACTATCTAGAACATTTTTAAACCATCTTTGGACCATAAAGAATATTTTTGAACTAATCAGTGAACCGTCTAGAACATTTTTAAATCATCTAGAACACTTTTAATCTATTTAGAACTTTTAATCTTTCAACCATATGGAACATTTGTAAACCAACTACAACATTTTTTAAATATCTAGAACATTTTTAGACCATCTAGAACATTTTTAAATCAAAGATCATCCAGAACCTATCTAAACCATCTAGAACATTTTTAAAGGTAACTAGAACATTTCTAGAAAACATAGAATTTTTTAAAATTATCTAGAACATCTTTAAATCATCCTTGAACCATCTAGAACATTTTTAAACCATTTAGAACATTTTCAAATTATCTAGAACAATTTTAAACTACATAGAACACATTTGTGATCCTCTGTAACATTTTTAAATTCTCTAGAACTTTTTTAAACCATCTTTAGACCATCTAAAACATTTTTAAACCGACAAGACCATTTTTAAACCAACTACTTAGAACACATTTTTAAATCACCTACTAGAACATTTATAAATGAACTAGAATTTTTTAAACTATCTAGGATATTTCTAAGCTATCCAGAACATTTTTAAATCATCTAGAACACTGTTAAACTATCTACAACATTTTCAAACCATCCATAACTTTTTGAGACCGTCTAGAACATTTTTAAACCACGTTTGGTTCATCTAGAACATTTTTAAACTATCTAGAACCTTTTAAAATCATCTTTCAGATACCTAGAACATTTTTAAAGTAACTAGAACATTTTTAGAAAATCTAGAAAATTTTTAAATTATCTAAAACATTTTAAACCACTAATAACCTTTTTAAATTATCTTTGAACATCTATAAATTTTTAAAATAACTAGAACATTTTTAGACAATCTAGAAAATTTTTAAGCTGTCTTTGATACATACAGAACACTTTTCTAGTAACTAGAATATTTTTAGACAATCTAGAATTTTTTAAAACTATCTACAACATTTTAAAATCATCTTCAGACCATGTAGAACATTTTTAAAGTATCCAGAACGCTTTCAATCCATCTTTGGATCATCTAGAATATTTTTAAACCGACTAGAACATTTTTATACCATCTTTGGACCTTCTAGAACATTTTTAAACTATCTAGAACATTTTTAAACCACTAAAAACGTTTTCAAACCATATTTGAGAAATCTAGAACATTTTTAAAGTAACTAGAACATTTTTAGAAAATCTAGAATTTTTTTAAACTATTTAGAACATCTTTAAATCATTTTTCGACCATCTAGAACACTTTTAATCTATCTTTGGGCCATCTATAACATTTTTGAACAAACTAGAATATTTTTGAACCAATTAGAAAATTTTAAACTATCCAGAACATTTTAAAACCAACTAGAATATTTTTAAATCAACTAGAAAATTTTAAACTATCTAGAACATTTTTAAACCGAATAGAAATTTTTAAACTATCAAGAATATTTTTCCAGAACAGAACATCCAGAACATCTTTAAACCAAGTAGAACATTTTTAAACCAACTAAATATTTTTTAGAACATTTTTAAACCATCTTTGGACCATATAGAATATTTTCAAACTATCTATAACAATGTTAAACTGTCTAGAACACATTTGTGATCGTCTAGAACATTTTTAAACAATCTAGAACACTCCCAAACTATTTAGAACGTGTTCCACTATCTATAACTTTTTATACTATCTAGAACATTTACACACTATCTCAAATATTTTAAAACTATATAGAACATGTTCAGACTATACAGAACGAGTTTTAAGTATCTATAATCTTTAGATTACCTACAACATTTAAAAACTATCTAGAACGTTTTCAGACTATCTAGAACATTTACAATATCTATACATATACTATTTATAAATTAAAAAGCTTCAATGTATGTTCGTCACATGAAACTTTAATATAAAGAATAATGCAAAATCTACATAAAATACTGAAAACTAAAACATACATAAATCTTATAAACTAATATACTATATAACAGAAAATATCACAACAAATACAAATATAATTATATTCATCTTATATAAACATTTCAAAAACTAAATATATAATTATAACAAAAAACTAGTTAATTTTAAACTTTACACTATAGTTGACAGTAATTTTGTAGAAAAGTAATAAAATATATAATGTATAAATGAGTTGCTGAACTACAGAGGGTCAAATGTGAGCTAAGAAGTTTTACTTCAAATATGGCATGTGGGATATCAAATAAAAGGTCGCTATGAGACTTATCCAAATACCCTATTCACTGTCGTAAACAATCGATAGGTTTTGGTATACATACAATTTCCAATATTGTTTTATACTATTTTAAAGTATACCCACTTGCCATAACGTTTTTACGCAAGACAGTATTATTGATAATTTAATTTAGCACAAATTCACCAAATATTCCATTTATCTCAAACAAACGGTTCAAGAGTTACAAGAGATACAATTAAAAGAAGACCAATGGGTTGCAGTACAGCAAGTTAAGATGTTGTGACGTCAAATAGAAATAGATGTTGTGACGGCATGTGGGGTATCAAATGAAAGGTCTCGACGAGCTCTAACCAAATATCATCAATATAATCACAATAAAACAATAGAACTCAATAAAAAAAATTAGTTGCATTAAACTTCAAATTCCTATATGACCTGAGGTCTATCATACTAGTGCAAAATGTGAAATTTGAAATATATATAAACTTTACAGAAAGATTTGGATTAAAAAATAAAATACATGACATTGCAATGTAAATTTATCGAATGCGTTTTAAAAAAAAGCATACAACAGAGTTAATTTTTATAATAAATTTATGCAAGTATAAATCTTATTATATTGTCTGTAAAATTCCTAAAAATTTATTCTAAATATTGACTAAAAGACTATAAAAGTTATAACTATAAACTATAAAATGTTACATCCTAAATCTTACAAAACTACACTAAATCACTTATTGTCAATATTATATAGTCAAAAATATTCCACTAAAATACGTCCTGAAGAGTTCTTCAAAATTATTTATTGTCAAATCTATTAAAAACCACGAGATTTTCGAAATAGTCACTAAAAGATGCGAAATTTGGCCAAACTTGATCATTGACTAAAATGCAGCAACTATTTGGTACAATCATTATAGTTGGGGTCACTTCAACTGGTCCCAAATAGTTCTTTATTTTTGTCTTCATATTTGACAAAAAATTGGTTAAATTCACTAAAATCCAGTAAATATTTAGGCAAGATCAGCACCAATTACGGTTGAGGTCACCAATAAATTCAACTGAATCTTATATAATTCCATTATAATTTTGTCTTCATATTTGATAAAAATTTGTTTGAATTCACTAGAAGCCAGTAAATATTTAGACAAGATCATTAAAACAGTTAGGGTCACCAATACACTTCAACTGGTCCTGAATAGTTCTTTAATTTTGACTTCATATCTGACAAAACTAATTTATTTGGCGAATTTTTAATGTTGCTCGTCAGTAGAGTTCCTTTTCTCTAAAGACACTTCGATATTATTTCTCTTACAAATTTTTAACGTTGCTCGTCAGTAGAGTTCTTTCCTCCAAAGCCACATTTCAACATTATTTTACAATTTTTTACAACTTTTTTCAAAGACACATTTCAATATTATTTATTTTCCAAATTTTTAACGTTGCTCGTCAGTAGAGTCCGTTCTCTCGAAGACATTTCGATATTATTTATTTTACAAATTTTTAACGTTGCTCGTCAGTAGAGTTCTTTTCTCCAAAGCCATACTCCGACATTATTTTACAAATTTCTAACATGGCTCGTCAGTAGAGTCCTCATGCAGATTTTTTTATCGTTGCTCGGCAGTAGAATCCCTTTTCTAAAAGCCACACTCCGACATTATTTATTTTACAAATTTCTAATGTTGCTCATCAGTAGAGTCCCTTTTTCTGAAAGAGACTTCAATACAATTTTTTTTACAAATTTCTAACATGGCTCGTCAGTAGAGTCCTCTTGCATTTTTTTTATCATTGCTCGGCAGTAGAGTTCCTTCCTTTTTCCTTTTCTCAAAGGTACACTTCAATAATATTTCTCTTAAAAATTTCTAGTGATACTCGTCAGTAGAGTCCCTTTTCTCCAGAGACACCAATTTTCACAATTTCCCTACTAATGTTGCTCGTCAGTAGAGTACCTTCTCTCGAAGACATTTCGATATTTATTTTACAAATTTTTAACGTTGCTCGTCAGTAGAATCCCTTTTTTAAAAGCCACACTCCGATATTAATTTACAATATTTTAACTTTGCTCGTCAGTAGAGTCTCTTTTCTAAAAGCCACACTCCGTAATTATTTTATAAATTTTTAACTTTGCTCGTCAGTAGAGTCCCTTTTCTCAATTAACAATTAACAATTAAATATAATTTCTTTTAACATTTTTAACGTTGCTGAAGAATTGAATTCGCCACATTTTATCCTGCATTATCACCAGTTAAATTTTACCAGAAAATTGATGATTGATTACAAAACTAGTATGACCATCTATGCACAAAACTAGTACCAGAGATAATAATCACGTTTGTCTTTTATTAACACTCTTGCCTTGTCATAATTGTCCTAATTATCACTCTTGCCTTGTTTGCAAAACTTGTCTCCTTAATCTAAAAATTCACCAAAATCAGTACCCAGTAATTATTAGAAAAAGTCCTTGAATTCATCTCTTTTTGTCCTGTGCTATCACTTTATCCTTTATCTCGTCATTAATAATTTTGTCCTACTTTATCACATTCCACCTTAATTTTTCACCAGATAATCACTGAATTTGTACAAAACTAGTTTGGCCATCTAAGCACCAAAACTAGTACCAGACATAATAATCATGTTTGTCTTGTAGTATTACCCTTGTTCTAATTATCACTTTCTCCCTTACCTTGTCAAAATTGTCCTTTACCTTCACTATTTTTTCAGCTTATTTTTCAATCCCTACGACTTGCTCTTCTTCCCCAAACTATTCCCATGATGACTCTGCTTAACCAGCACAGCCAGCAATTTCTCCACAGTTTTCTGATTAGCAGCCAAAACATCCTTCAAATCCCTAACCTCCAAAGTCAACAACTCTATACGTTCTGCATTATCATCAATCTTATTTTGCAAAGTGCAAACACTTGCACTATCAAAACCACCATCGGAATCCGACTTATCATTATTGTTCTCCAATTTGCTCTTGTAGGAAAAATAGGTCGCTGTCGACCCTTTGGATGAAATTGTATGACCTAAGTGTTTTCTGGTTTTCGCAATATCGTACGCCGACATCATGATGTCCCTTGGCAAGCGTTTTTCACCGGGGTTTAAGGGTTTCACGCTTAAGACGACCCTGTAGGCTTGAGGGCTCACCAGGGCTGACCAGTGTAGCATGCGTCTTAGCCAGGCCGGTAAATAACCGTTGAATAAAGCTGATTCGATGTAGGAGATTAATTTGGTTTGGCGTACCAATTTGCTCAAACCTGCAGTTTTTTTTAGCCCTTGAATATCGTGTACAGCAATACCCACAAGCAAGTTCATCAATATAACTGTAACAAACAGCAAAAAAAGCACAAACGTTATTTGTGCTGATATTTCGAGCAAAAACGGCGGGTCTTTACCATCAGGATCATTAATCAAAAGTGCTAAGTCTTGTTCACCGGTCATCATCACCAAGGACGGTTATAAAGCCCATAAAAGGGTTCGCAAATGATGATGACGACGGGAAAATTACGCAAAAACTTATGGTGAAGCCTACGAGCATGCAGGAGTATGCCATGAGGAGTTTAGCAAATTCGCCCTGGACTTTTGTGTACATTGCTACATAGGCGCCAAACACCGGCAACTGGCCTATCATCAGCATCAAATTTGTCCAGCCTAAGAGGACTGCAAAAGCACCCACATGATTTTGCCAAGTGTACGTCCTGTTAGTGTAAATGTAACTTATTACAAATACACTGATTATTACAAACCACTCGATAATGTTTTCCAACTGGGTCACGTATTGGCGTACAGTAGAATACCCGGTGATACCATAAACTTTTCTGCATATCTCGAATACGGTTATAGCGACCAACACCCACCATTGCATCTCCATGACAAAAGGGTTATTTCGGAGCATATCACCAAGCATTGACTGTTTTTGGCATAATTCTTGTTCCTGTATAGTTTCTTCCATGTCTTTGCTACCATTGTAACAATTGTGAGCCAAAGCTGTCAAGACGTATAAAGTCAAAAACAAGACGAAAATAAAACAAAACACCAGGCGTGCAATATAGTACTTCCTGATTTTTTCCCACTTTACGTACAAAAAAGCCGCACACAAGGGATGTTGCAGGATTTCTTTACGCCCTTCGTCCACAAACGTGTTCAAGTAACTTATTTCACGTGGGTGACAATGCTGGAGGATACTTCTAAAATCAAGTTCCAATTCTACTTCCCTGTTGCTAGATTCGCGACTGTGGTGCAAAGTTATTGCATTATCTAGTTTTTGGTCAATCATAGCCAGACTTGCAGGTGTTTTACGTGTAATAACATTCAAAGCCGAGTTGCCTTTTTTTGACTTAGTTGTGACATCAGCACCGTGAAATATAAGCATTTCTACACACTGGGATAACCCGTCTAAAGCCGCTAAATGCAATGCCGTAAACCCATAAACATCCTTCTGGTTCACGTTAGCGCCCCATGCAATCAGGGTTTCTAAAATATCAAACGCCGACTCCGATTTGCCGATGGCTGCGTGCAGTGGCGTCCTGTGATCAAAATCTTCAGCATTCGGATCAGCACCCCCTTGACGTAATAGGCTTTCGACACACTCAAGGCTTGATGTGCGTGCGGCTAAATGCAAAGCTGTGAAGCCTCTATGGTTTTTTAGGGTAGCATCGGCGCCTTTGGCTAAAAGCAAATTGACGCACTCAGAATTACCTTCATCGGCTGCTAAGTGCAAAGCTGTGGACTCTTTTTCGCGTACACAAATTCTTATATTCGGATCGGCTCCTGGTGAATCTAAAAGTACAGACAGGCATTGTGCGTGCCCCAAATCCGCAGCCAAGTGTATAGCGTTTGTGCCATTCGGTTTTATAGAATTTACATCAGCACCTTCAGAAATAAATAGACCTACACATTCGACAGCGTTAGCACGTACAGCACAGTGTAGTAGGGATTCTTCGCAGTTCAAGCGATTTGTGTGGGTTATTATACGTGCACCGTTGTTTATCAACATTTTAGCAGTTTCGGGCGAATCGCCGAAAGCCGCACAATGCAAAGGTGTATAGCACTTCAAACACTGGTTTACATCGGCGCCTCGTGCTATGAGTTCTTTGGTACTTGCTAAACAGCCGCTGAAAGCGGCCAAATGCAACCCAGACAACCCATTAGCATCCGCAAAATTAACATCAGCTCCTAAATCCAACAAAGGCGCTACTAGGTCCCAACGTTTCAAAAAACACGCCCACAAAACACAAAGTTGCTTCTCATGTTTCGACGAATCTTGGTCAAAAAACTGGGGCACGTTACCAGCTACAATATCACCCGACTCGATATCATCCAGCAATTTCGTACGTTCATTAGCACTTCGCATCTGGTCATGTAAACTGTTCCTAATAGTCTCACCACAAATCTGGACACTCAATTCCGCCGAAGGCTCGTCAAAACTATCATACATACTGGGCGCACTCTCAGCCGGAGGCGAAGGACCAACTTCCATATATTCAAAATCATCCGAAGGATATATTGATCCAAAGCCGATTCGGCATCGTTTCGCCACCTAACCATCATGCAAGGGGCAGCGGTTTTAAATCTGTTTTGTTGGTTTAAATTTATGCCAGTAAGGGTTGATAAGGGCGATGCTTCGTTGTTTTCCATGTGAATTATTCGGGATGGATTCGTGGCTGCTATCGATGCTGCACGATTCAACATGGGCCGTTTGAGTTTTTTGGTGCTGAGCTTGGCTGTGCCTTCCTTGTAGCCGAGATTCTCCATGGTAGTAAAAGATGATAGACTTTTGGTTCAATAGGTTTGTTTCGGGGCTAAAGACGTGTGTTTTTGAGTATTGTCCATTGTAAGGTCTTAAGTGTCATTTTGGAGTAGAAAAATGTCACTACATTATTTTTATAACTGCATTATAACCTCGAATATAAATATTAATGTTCAATTTGAATTACAAACTTAATTTTTAGTCTTTCAGGGCGTGTTTTGGTTTAATTCCAACTGTAACCTCAATTTGCAACTTTTTAGGATCAAATTCAGTTTTAACACTCAATTTCTAATTTTTTCGGGTTGAATTCAAGTCTATTTTTATAACATATTTTATTCAAAATTTTAAATTTATTGTAATTGTTTTCAGGCTTTGTTCTGGCTCAAAAACGATATAAATATTCACATCAATCTTAAGAAAGTCTAAATTCAGGTTCTATTGCAATTACTAGGTTCACTTTCGTATTTATTAAACACTATTTAAATTTTAAGTTCAATTCCAGGTTATAACTCATTTTGTACTGAATAAAGTCCTTTTTAGGCCCAAAAACTATATTCAAATTATTTCTATTAGGTTCTATTGTCTATTGTCTATTGTCACCACTAACTAATTTTAAAAACGTGTTTTTCAGATTCAGTTCAAGCTTAATTATCCCAATAGACTTTAATCACTAAATAATGTCTTTTTTAGGCTTTAAACAACAAAGATATTCAAATCAAATTGAAGAAAACCAATTTAGGTTCTATTGCAGTTACTAACTGATTCAAGTTTACTTTCGTATTTATAACACCACTATTTACTTAAATTTCAAGTTTAATTCCAGGATAAAACTCATTTTATACTAAATAAAGTCTTTTTCAGGCTCAAAATCGATATTCAAATTAATCAGGTTCTATTGTTACCTCCAACTGATTTAGTTACACTTTCGTTTGTTACACTATTTGAAAAACAAATTAAACAGCTTTTCAGGATCAGTTCAGGCCTAATTATCACAACTGATTTTTTATTAAATAAAGTCTTTTCCAGGCTCAAAAACGATATTCAATCAATCAGGTTCTATTGTCACCACTAACTAATTCAGTTACACTTTTGTTTGTTACACTATTTTGACGTCTTTTTCAGGTTCTGTTCAGGCTTAATTATCCCAATAAATTTTGTTTACCAAAAAAGTCTTTTCCAGGTTTAATTCCAGACTCAACTCGATTTGTACTGAATAAAGTCTTTTTCAGGCTCAAAAACCATATTCAAATTCTTGTTACACATTCATTTATTACACTATTTTGAAAACGTGTTTTTCAGACTTAATTATCCCAATAGATATTGTTTACCAAAAGAAGTCGTTTTCAGACTTTAAACAACATAAATACTCAAATCAACCTAAAGAATGTCAGGTCTTATTAACACCACTAACTAAACTAGGTTTACTTTCGTTTGCTGCACTATTTAAAAAAAACTTCCTTTTCAGGTTCAACTCAAACCTTATTATCCCAACTGATATTTTACTAACTATATTCTTTTACAGGCTCAAAAACAATATAAATCGAACGTCAATTCAGGTTCTATTATCACGAACTAAACCAAGTCCACTTATTATTATAAAACCACTATTTAAAATTTCAGGTTCAATTCAGGCTTACTTTTACAACGTGAAAATTAGTTTTTTAGCGCTCCAATTTTTATATGATCTATAATATATAAAATTACTTAAAATTGATGAATAAATCTATCAGCAGGCTTTAATTATATTACCAATAGTTTTGTATGCACCCAACTATTTTTTAGTTAGAAAAATAATAATTTGAACATAAATTGGCATAAAATATTAAAAATTTAGCCATAAGTTTTTTCAGGTTAAATTCAGGCTTAACTTTTATCACAAACGGAATTTGTCACCACATTCGATTTTTGAACTCTACCAGTTTTTATAAATTGTTATTTATAATGAACAATGAATACCACTAGTTCATATAAATTCTTTCAGGTCAAATTCAGGCCTCAAAAAACACTTTTTGACAGTTATGACAGCTTTTAGTTAACAAAAAATGCCAAACTCGAATTTAACAATGTGCACATAATACATTTTTTTTAATCACAAATGTCTATTTTAAGTTAATTTCAGTTTGAACTTTCAGGTTCAATTTGCACTAGAACTTTAATTTTGTAAAACTTTTCGAAAACAATTTATAATAAAAGTTTTATTTAGGTCCAAGTATAATTTGAACAATTCTTTTAATTTTCAGTTTTTCAGGTCGTATTCAGGTTTAATTTGCATTATAATTGAAGTTATAATTTACAAACTCAATTTTTAGCTTTTCAGGGCGTGTTTAGGTTTAATTCCGACTGTACCCCCAATTTTCAACTTTTCAGGGTCAAATTCAGGTTTAATTTAAAACACTTAATTTCTAGTTTTCCCGGGTAAAATTCAGGCCTCATTTGCTCTACCACTGAATGTTCACTTTTTTACGTCAAATTCAGGTCTTATTTGCACTAGACCTCAATTTTAACAGTTTTTTCAGGTCCAATAAAGGTTTAAATTTGTTAAAACATTCAGTTGACACTTTTTACCACTACACATTAAAAGTTCACTTTAAACAGTTTTTCAGGTCCAAATCAGATTTAATTTGCACCATAAAACCTCAATTTCACATTTTTTTGCACTCAGTCATCAATTAGCGTTTGTTATGCACATGTACTTTACTTAAAAATGCACTTTTACTTCTTTGTATCATATTTTGTGATTTATTTATTTATAAATGTACTTTTATTTGTTTATAAAATAAATACAAATTTAAAAAAAAAGTTCTGGAAAACTTTTCTCTGCAAAATTTATGTTTATCTAGTTCATAAATATAAAAATCTGGAAAATGTAAAAAAAACTAATTATAACTAAAGTTTTTTTTAAAATTATGATTACAATTTTTAAATTGTTTATTTAATATTTAATTTAAAAGCGTGCACACGATTTCTTTATCTTTTCGACCTTAGAAATTTATTTATTTTGGGATTAAAAGTTTATTAACACTTCTAATTTTATTTTGGATTGTTTATTTAATTAAATCAAATACAAAAATATAGTTACGTAATAATTAAAGATATATAAATAAAGTTTTTCAGGCATTCATCCAATTATTAAATACAAATTAAAATTATTTGTAATTTTAGTTAATGTAGCATACGTTTCGTGTTTTGATTTGACTCGTCTTCAGTTTTATTATAAATATGAAATAAAAATAAAAACAAACACAAAACAATTATTAAATATTATACATGGTATATCATAATATATTTTGAAAATATAAGCACGTTTTTTAGGTTCAAAATTAATTTAAAAGCAAATTAGTGTATATAATTTTATATTTTTTATCAAAACAGTAATAAATTTGGATTAAAATTTTTAAAAATCGCACAAACTTCGTAAATTGAAGACAATAATGTTAATAAAATTAATTTAAGTCAAAATTTGCAAATATTCAATTTGTTCTATCAGATTTATTTCAGATTTTGTTTTAAGAATGATAAATTTATATTTAATATTTGTAATTTTTATATATTATAAATTCAAAAAAATGAATATATTTATTCTAAAAATCTGCACTTTTCATTTTTATTTAAGTTCAATTCAGGTTTAATATTTTCTTTTATTAATTTTGATAGATTTTTCTTCAAAAAACAATATAATTTGAAGCTAGAATTAAAGAAAAGCACGATTTTTGTAAATTAAAGCCAAAATGGTCTCTCAAGTTTATTTCAGATTTGAAATTTATAATTTTAATATATTTATTAATAAAAAAAAATTTACATTAAAAATGAAAAGAGTAAAATAGTCTTATTTTAATTTGATTCTGTCTTATTTTAATATTTAATTTTGTTAATTTTGATAAAGTTTTCTTCAAAAAAAAAATATAATTTGAAACTAATAATGATAAAAAAGTAAAATTTTCGTAGATTAAAGCCAAAATGATCTGTCACGTTTAATTCAGTTTTAAAATTTCTAATTTTAACAATATATTTATTAATAAAAAAAATTAAAGTAAATGTCTTATTTTAACATTTAATTCTGTTAATTTTGATATATTTGAATTTGAAACTAAAAATAATAAAAAAGCACGATTCTTGTAGATTAACCCAAAATTGTTTATTTCAGGTTTAAAATTTATAATTTTACCAATATATTTATCAATAGAAAATAATTTTACATTAAAAACAGAAAGAATAATTGTCTTATTTTAATATTTAATTTTGTTAAATTTGCTATATTTTTCTTCAACAAAATATAATTTGAAACTGTAAAATAAAAAAAAGCCCGATTTTTGTAGATTAAAGCCAAAATGGTTTATTTCAGGTTTAAAATTTATAATTTTACCAATATATTAATAAAATATATTAATAAAAATAACTTAAATTAAAAATGGAAGTACGAAAATGTGTTATTTTAATATTTATTATAGTTTTGTTAAGATTGATATATTTTTCTTTAGAAAAAAAATAATTTGAAACTAAAAATAATAAAAAAGCACGATTATATTGCAGTCAGATTATTTTAAGTTTTGTTTTAAGAATCATATATTTTTATTCAATTTTTGAAATTCTTTAATTTAATTTTTTTAAATTTGTCACTTTAAAAATCCGCACTTTTATTTTCATTTAAGTTTAACTTCAGGTTTAATATTTAATTTAAAAAACATATAATTTGAAACAAAAAGTAATAAAAAAGCATGATCTTTGTAGATTAAAGCTTAAATGATCGGTCAAGATTATTTCAGATTTAAAATGTATAATTTTAACGATATATTTAGTAATAGAAAATAATTTTACATTAAAAATAAAAACAATAAAAAATGTCTTATTTTAATTTGATTCTGTCTTATTTTAATATTAAATTCTGTTAATTTTGATAGACGTTTTTTCAAAAAAAAAATTTAAACTACAATTAATAAAAAAAACACGATTTTTGTACATTGAAGTCAAAATAGT